GTCTGTACCCCCTTCCCTGATTGAATTGTGAGCCGCCCTGAGTCCCCTTCGGGGAAAAGGGCGGCATATAAATGTAATAAATAAATCAATAATAAATCAAATCACCTCACTCAGAATGGATTTTAATTAATTAGACTTTCATGGCATCCCAGCTTGCCAAGCCATTCTGTTTAACACAGCTTCAAAAGAAGTACCATATTTTTCAGAGTATAAGATGCACCTTTCCCCCCAAAAGAGCATGGAAGTGTTGATGCATCTTATACACTGAATACAGCCATTTTTGGCCTGACGCCCCCCCCCCCCGCATTCCATTTTTGTGAAAAATGGGCAATAAATGGGCAGTTTTTCACAAAAACAAGGTTGTTTTTGCCTTTCCCCACCCCCCAGAAGCACTCTGCAGGCTTCAGCAGGGCTGGGAGAAGGGGAAAATTCCCCCATTTCAATGAAAAACGGGGGTGTTTTTTCCTTCCCCCTGCCCTGCTGAAGCCTGCAGAGTACTTCTGGGGGGTGGGGGAAGGCAAAAACTATTTTTTTTACTTACCTCTTCAAAATCTTGGTGCGTCTTATACACCGGTGCGTCTTATACACCGGTGCGTCTTATAGTCTGAAAAATACGGCAATAAATAATAAAACTAACCACAGGAAAGCAGAAGAATGGTGACCAGGCTAAACCTGTCAGCAATGGCTAAAAAGCTTCCCATCGCCCTGCCCTGGAGAAGGGCCGGCTGGAGGGCCAGCAGGTCCAGCTTCCTAATCAAGCCATTTGCAACCCATCAACTAACATTCCACACAAAGTGAACTTGATGAGAGAGATAGAAAGAGGCTTGTCTGGTATTACCCAGATGGAGGCCATTCGCTGCAAGGCGGCTGCAATCCTTTCCCGATCCATGCCTTCTCTGATGTATGAAGAATTTTGTACCAATGAAGACTGAAATCCAAAAAAAGACATGTCAGAATCTCAACTGAACCTAAGGAGGCACAAATTATAAAAGTGAGCTACTGGCAAAACTGTAAGTAGCCATTAATGAATTCAAACATATTTTGTCACAGTGCAATAAGCACTTAAAACCATTCATATAAAAAGAGTTTATAAACAAGCTTGAGGATGAATCTCCAAAAAGGAATGTTTTTTTAAGTATAAGAAGCTAATAAAGACTCTCGGCATGACATTAGGAAAGTGTACTGCATTCACTCAACAGTGAGTGCTTTGCCCTCTAAGGCTGCCCTCCCCTCTGCCTGCCCCATGGCAGCCAACAGAATGCGGGCTTTGCGGGCCCTCCATTAAGCACTGCTGCCACCCCCTACCCCCCATTCAGTCTGCCCCAACTCTGCTGGCTTCTAAACCAATTCAGGATGTACTGTGCATGCCCTGCCCTCCTCTCCCCACGATGTTCACTGTTTGGCTTCCTTTTGCTTTCCTTTTTAGGCAAGGTGTGTGGTGATAGGTTGTGCACATTGCGCAGAGCAAGAGACAAGGCATTTGTAGTCTGTGCGCAAGAAAGAAGGGGACGATGGCTCCTGCTTGGGGGTCCCCAGAATATAATAGTGTAAATCGTCTGCTTTAGTTTGGCAAGATTTCCGTCTATGGCTGAGGAAGAATAAAGGAAACAGCTTAGAAGAATCGCAGTGGGTCTATCTTGGTTTTGGAACCTGACACCCAAGACTCTTTTTCATTTGGCCTCTACTTCTATCATGTCATGTTTGTTGAATCCGAATCAATCGATGAGTCAACCTCTGGTCTGGACACCCTTTGTGGGATGTACAAGAGCTGCCCTCACCTTTCTGGATGTTCCTCACTGACCCCTCTTGGACCACTGGCCAAACTCTTTCTACGAGGCTTAGCAGCCAGTGTCAGCATCTTTCCCTTTCCATAAAGGAATAACAGCATCTGCCCAATTCTTATACAAACTGGGCAGCTGCTCCAGAAATAAATTATATTCAGCTACACCAGCATCATGTTATTTTTAAGTATTTTTCAGCGCTTATTACTTCCTTTCATGACTTTTTTTCCTGGGCACCAACATTTATAGCATTGGTTTCAATTCCCCTATCTGACATACCATTCTCACACTTGGGGTTAAGAGTTTTGGCAGTGCGACTATTATTATGAGATAAACCCAGGAGCAAAACAGAGCACACACCACACAGAGCCTTTAGACCAGGCATGTCCAAAATCCGGCCCAGGGGCCAATTGCAGCCCATTCTCAAATGTTGAGTGGCCCGCAGCCTCTTCTCCCCACCGGCTCAGCCTATCACTCATCCCCACCAGCTGGCGCTTTTTCCTTCACCACCCAGCAGTTCCTGCAGCTGTCCCCTATGGCCAATCCACAGCTGGCTGAGCACCACCTTCAAGGCTGGAGGTTCCATTTCACCAGAAAATGGTAGTAGACCTGAGTCAGCACTCTGGTTGTGTGACTCTTGTGACGCAAGGCTCATGTGTCCATTTCTAAAATGGCAACTGTAACTAAAAAAAGGAAAATGGACAGTGAGGGCCACCACTGCAAGGACAAGTGGAAATCCTTTCAAAGACTGTCAGGCTGAATGGTCCCACACATTTTCACCTCACCGAATCTGGCCCTCCTTGCAAAAGGTTTGGCCACCCCTGCTTTAGACAATGAGTAGTGGTTCATACATACATATATACACCACTATGGACACAAGGACAGAAACGAGATACATGATGAGAGAGAGAGAGACATTCCCTAGTGGCCACCTATAACTATAACATCTATAACGGTAGCAGACTTGTGTGGACCCCACCAGTGTCTTAAATTGGATATACCTATAGTGCTGAATAATCCTCATTGCATCAGCTCACAATTTACACGTTACAACCTTTCATCAGTTGCCAGCTATTAAACCTTCAGTACCTACCCCTTCTATAATTTTATGCTTGAGTCATTAAAAGTCTGTGAAGCTCCTCCAGCCATTCGAGCACCTTCCTAGTGAGTCTGGTCTGCTTCATTAGAGTTAAAACTGAAATATGTTTGAATATTAGTAGTTAGCATTAAAACTTTTTCCTGATCTTGTCAAGGGAGGCCAGAACAAAGAATTTTTGAACAGCATCTGCAAGTACTCTGGGAAAATAGGCACCCCAGGCTTTGCAATTATTGCATTGGTAATATTAGGATTAAAGCATCTAATAAAGAATTTCCCAATTATACGCAAGCATTTGCTTTTTTGGCTTATTTCTAGGTATTTGTTTTTAATCTATATGCTGCTCTGAGACAGGTGTGGAATTGAGTGGCATTATAAACCTAATACATGAATGCTTATTAAATGTGCTGCAGATATCAGTAGCCTACAGGAGTAGTCATGGCTATCTTTTCTGAGTTAAATGGAAATTTCATCACTACAACAAAACCCATTTGTGACTTAATTTTCCCACAGTGCATTGGAAAGAGTTGGCCAGCAGCCCAGAAGAGAGGAACATCTCAGCCAAACTCACAAAATGCAAGTTGCAACACACACACACAGACAGACACACACACACACTTACACTTTCTCCTGCTCAATCCAAGACTCATTTAAGAAGAACTGTAAGTGCCGAAAGTAGGAAGGACAATGCTAGGCTATTTTCAAAATATGCCCAAACTGATCTCTCTTAGAGTTACTTATCAGGGAGTAGACTATTTTGTGAATCACAAATCACTTACTCCATAGAGGAACCATCCGTATTCATTATTATTCACCCCAATTAAATATGGGACTGCGTGAAGCTCCTTGGAGGCCAATAATTCCTCTGGTGCTTTTAGAATGAATTCTCCATCAACGACTGCAGGGATAAGGTGAAGTTCCTGGGGGGAAAAGTTACAATAATGCAAAACTGGAAAGGTACAGAAATGTTCACTTTGATGCTCAACAAAAATTAAGAAAATTTAAACTTCTGCAATCTCTGAGGGAGATGGGCGGTTAAAAAATATGAAAATCAACCAATCAATGAATGTCTGTGTGCCTGCCTGCCTCTATAGAGGTTAAAACCATCTGGCCAAAAGCTGGAGCTGTGATCTGAGCCCAAAGACCCATCCCAGGTATTATGTTGCCTGTGAGCTGTGCATCTCTCCTGCTCTCAAGGGATCAGGATTTTATCCTTGATTATATCTGATTGTTGCGCGGCCTCATTACAGACTGGGGGGATGGGATCGGGTGGTGGTGGCAGACAAGCTGATCCTCTAGGACCCAAAACTCATCTTAAAAGAAAAGGTGCTTTTTTCTTCAGCTCTCCAGCAAGGGAGAGGGAGACCCTCATTTCATTATCCTTCAAATCTTTTATCTTGATTTGTCTTGATTTCATTTAAGGTCTTTGATGGCGATGAGCCACCAGGGTCCTTAAGACCAGGGCAGCATAAAAGTTCAGTAAATGTTTATTATAGACCGATCAGTAGGCTCTGAATGCTGCAGGCTAGCCCATCTCACACTGACACCCGGAAGAACCTGGAGCAAATGATAAAGAGAAAACAGATGATACCAACCCCTCCCCTGCTCTCCCCTCACCCCACAACCCTGTAATCAGGGTTTCAATGAAGAAGAAAGTGAAGGAGGGGGGTAGAAACCTGGATGGTTTCCTAAGAAGCACAGTGAAGGTGAGAAACCACAAAAAGAACCTGTACATGAGATAGAAAAAAGAGGCGAGGAAACGCACATACAGGCATTGTAGGACTTTATGGCTGAGGTCAAGAAAGCTTTCAGAATGAGCTGCTTGCAAAGAAGGTTAAGAAAAAGGTTTTAATGTTTTTACCCCATTAATTTGAGTGAAGAAGAAAAGAGAATGCAATTTATCTTCTATTCTCATTCAGTTTTCTCCAAGATACAGTAAAACAATCTATTCCACCAGAAAACTGTGAAGGGCAGGACGAAAATTTATGATTGCTAGAAACAGAGTCAGGAAGAGCTCCTTTGGTTGAGTTTGAGTCACCTGACTTGGCAGTTGATCATCAGATCTGATGACCCGACAGAATCTTGGAGAAATCCCAGAAAATCAAGGGGGGGGGGGGAGAGGAATAGATCAAGGGACCAAAATGGCACAAATATCTGCATTTTCAAAGAGGGAAAAAGAAACCCCAGGGATTCCTAGACATCTGATGCCTGGGAAGAGCAAATCCTAAAGACTTTGACAATTGTTGGCAAAGGTCTGTGACTGCAGCCTCATTTACCTGCTGATTATATATGAAGAGAAAGTGGTTTGGAAGATGTGCCTGGTTCTTATAATTGGAGGAAGAAAGTTCAGTAACCTGCACAGAGCTGATAACAATCTCCCTACAGCCAAACATGCAGAGGGCCCTAACCCTTGGGATTAAAGGTCAGAGAGCACAGGGGGAAAAATGGAACTAGGATTAAACATTAAACGCAGAGCAAACTCAGCATCCAACCTTAGTGTCAGAAGTGCCAGCCTGCCTTTCAGCTCCCTTTGCTGGAGGCCAGCCTGCCACAGACTATGGAGGGGGGAGGGGGGAGCTGCAGGAGAAGGAAACAGAAGCTACTCATTGTAGAGACATTGGTTCACCGTTCCAAGGCCAGAGGCCTCAGCATGGGGGGCTCTGTAGAGATTCTTAGCCATCCAGCTCGGGGTTGTCCCAAAGGGGCTTTTATTTTTCAAGAGGCAACTGGACTTTCTCATTTTTTCTTTTGAAGATGTTTCACGTCTCATCCCAGAAGCTTCTTCAGCTCTGACAGGATGGTGGGGAATGGAAGGATTGATACTCCTTGCAGGCAGTTTGCCATTTGCATCCTTTGAGAGGGTCCTTGAAGCACTTGGAGGTTGATCTGTGTCCTGAGGGTTACTTGAGTGGTGCAAATGGTTTCTGTAGTCTGCAATTTTTACCTCTGGAAATGCATTGGGAATGGGAGTAGGAATGGATAAATCCTTCTATTTCCTACCATCTAGTCAGAGCTGAAGAACCTTCTTAGATGAGAAGTGAAACATCTTCAAAAGAAAAAAAACAAGAAAGTCCAGTTGCCCCCTTGCAAAAGAACCTTTGGGACTCAAAATGGAATGGAATAGCTCATTTATCTAGCTCACAAATGCAGGAATTGTTACCAAAACAATTCCTTCAAATGTAACTGGACAATAGGAAGAAAACAGGGGGAGGCATGGAAAAGGGAAAGTTAATTAGGGAACCTTCTTGTGCAAACCTTTAGTTCTGGCATTGCTGTACTGTAACCAGTTGGCTTTTAATAAAAGTATATCTTTTACGCAGATGGAGTCAAGAGTCTTTCTTTCCTAGGAGACCAGGTTGAGGTAGATATGACATTTAGAACTGACAATATGAAGACATTGTGGATTTTTTCCCCTTTAGAATCAACCATCAATAGTAAAGGAAAAAGCAGTTAAAAAGATACACCAATTAGTTGCAGGAAGGCTAAAACTACTTTTACTGAGATTGGCTGCAATAACAGAATCTTGCAGGTCTCGTCGTGTTGTAGTTCTCCCCTTCAACTAGAGGTTAGTGAATTAGGGAGATGTCTGCCTGAGCCACTTGTAAATCTCATCTGGGTGTTTTGGACTCAACATGTTTTGTTCCTTGTCACCGTGGCCTTGGTTCCCACATATCTCCAGCAAAACCATCTGACTTATTTCATAGAGCAGACTAGCACTTGGTAGGATAGCAATGAATGCTTTGGAAAAGATATTAGGATGTCAGGATGAATCTTTATCTACAAAGACCAGTTATGTGAAGGCAAAGGAATTCCTTATGACTCTATGGGAGTGAAAGTTGGACTCTGAAGAAGCCAGATAGAAAAAGTATTGATGCTTTTGAATGGTGATATTGAAAAAGAAACCAATGGATAATTAAAATTAATCTAAAGTTTTAACTTAAAAGCACTGGCTTTTGCTGTAACAATATGGGAATTAGGAAGGGGATGCATTCCCTCCCAGCTGGTTCAAGCCTGTTACTCAAGGCTGCAGCATCCCTAAGATGACCTGTTATCACCATCCCACCTTGGAGTTCTCATAACACCGTTGCAACATCCCATCCTTTGTGTGGGAATCTTCAGACTCCACCTGACTTCTCTGCAATCCCTTCTCTCAATAAAAGTTCCTTTTGAAATCCCATTTCTTTCAAGAGTCATGCCTTCCTGAGAAGACAGCTGAGGCAGGTCTTACATTTGCACTCAATGATCTTGACAGCTGCTCTCCATTTGTTAGATTCTGACTTTTAGTGGGGGAACATCCTGTCAGTAGAATGGAGAATTCACAATTGTAAACCTTCCATTTCTTACCGGAGGCAACCTGGAAATCAGTGAATTTAGTTCTTCTTCAGTCTTGTTCCGTAAGCAGAGCAGCATGGCAGGACTGGTAGTCTCACAGTCGGCAGCAGATGCCACTTTCTTCAAGGTGGAAAAAATATGCAATTTAAATGAGGTACAATTGACATTTATCAAAGGGGGATACAAGGCTGTGTCCCTGCTTGCAGAATTTGATCCCGATTTTGCCTTTTCTGAACTTCCACATCCAGTAGCTTGGAATTCCTACAAAAGCAGGACCTGACCTCATTGACTGTATACAAGGAGGGCATACCTGGGGAAGGGACTGTTCACCCCTCCCAGGTGCCTATAAACACTGCTGGGTCTCATGTGATCAGGGTGTGTCTCTCTGCTTCTAGGGGTGTGGGGCGATGCTGAGCCCCCCTCAGCGCCTGGCAGCTGGGCAGCAATCAAAATGCAGGACATTTATAGGCACAGGCTCTGCGGGTGTGGTCAGGATTTGTCCTTCCCTACCGCTTCTGGACCAATGTACTCTTTGACCCCCAAAGCATTTTGATGGCTATTTCACATATGCCTGATCTGTTATCTCTTTCCCAGTTTTAACAGTTTTGTGGCTCACTTTTATTTACATTAAAAAATAAGCCAGGTGAATATTGGGGTATCAGCATGCATTTCTCAGACAATGGTTACTTACCTGAGCAAGGATTTCTGGATGCTGGGTGAAGAAGCCGGGGAGCTGGACCGTTCCACTCTCAGAGATCGCTCTGTGAAACAAACCCTTGGACAAGGGGGATAAAATCTACCCGCACAGATAGGCAGAAAAGGACATAATATTCCATCACCTTTTGAAGGGGTCTTAATAATAATATATCAGACTTCTTTTGAACAAGGAATTTGGGGAACATTAAAAATGCAGATCATCTCTGGAGCTGTGATGCTAATGGAATTGGGCATGGAAGTCTGTGAGGTGGTATGCTTTTTAAAAATGCTCTGTTATTATCCAGCCAGTTAAAGGAGGTAGAGAAATTCTCCTAAACTTTAATCCTGAGCTTTGGCCAGAGTTGGTTTAAACAGCAGAGTTGCGTAAATAAAACGACGCAATAGCAATAGCAATAGTTAGACTTATATACTGCTTCATAGGGCTTTCAGCCCTCTCTAAGCGATTTACAGAGTCAGCATATCGCCCCCAACAACAATCCGGGTCCTCATTTTACCCACCTCGGAAGGATGGAAGGCTGAGTCAACCCTGAGCCTAGCGGGGTTTGAACATCCGAACTGCTGAACTGCAGTCAGCTGAAGTAGCCTGCAGTGCTGCATTTAACCACTGCGCCACCTTGGCTCACACCACAAGAGTCTTGTCATTCAAGAACATTTCAATATCTGCTTCAATTTTCAGAATTTGAAAAAGCGGCTGTCTTTAGAGTTTGCCAAGACCACCAATTCAGTGTCTGGGTTGCTGCCAGCTGATCAGAAACCTTCTACCCTCCAGTCTCTCCCCAGAGTTTTGCAGCCAGAGTTTTCTCTGATGGTTCTTATTTGCACAATGGGCTTAATCAACGAAGAAGCAGCTGCGTCCTCAACAACCTACGTTTGTTTAGTTTTAACCCTGCTTAGGGTTCTTGTGGTTTAGCCAGAACATGAAGTTCTGCGTCCTGCAGGAGTCAGGCTAGTTTCCCACTCAAGTCACTTATCTTGTGCAAACCCAGCTAGTTATGAAGCTATCCTGGGCACAAGGACTTATTGGTGTTCATTCATTCGTGTACTAGAATTCATCTCATAGGGTGGAGGCATACAGAAGTAAAATTGGGGAAATCTTAAAATCAACTTAATAGAACAGAGTAATAGACTTGGAAAGACCTTCAGAGATCTTCTAGTCCAACCCCCTGCATAAACAGGATACCATGCACCATTCTGGACAAATGGCTGTCCAGTCTCTTCTTCAAATCCTCCAGTGATGGAGCAAACACAACGCCTGAAGGCAAGTTCTTCCACTGGTTAATTATCCCCACTGGCAGAAAATTTCTCCTGAGTTCCAGGTGGGATCTTTCTTTAATGATCTTCCACCCGTTACTTCTTGTACTGCTTTGGAGAACAGGTTGACTCCCTGGTCTTTGTGGCAGCCTCTCAAATTTTTGAAGAATGATAGCCTGTCGTCCTGGTCCTCCTTTTCACGAGACTAGCCATGCCCAATTCCTGCAACTGTTCTTCATCTGTTTTAACCCCCAGCCCCCTAATGATCTTTATGGCTCTTTTCTGCACTTTCTCCAGAGTCTCAACATCTTATTTATAATATGGTGACCAAAACTGGATGCAGTATTGCAAGAGTGGTCTTACTAAGGCTTTGTTAAATGGTACCAATATTTCATGTGAACTCGATTCTATCCCTCTGTTAATGCAACCTAGGATTGCATTGGCTTTTTTGGTTACTGCCTCTCACTGTTGCCTCATATTTAAGTGATTGTCCACTAGGATTCCAAGCTCCCTCTCACAGTTACTGCTAGTGAGCCAAATTTCATCTAATTTGTAGCTGTATATATTATTAATCTGATTATTAATAATAATAATTTGTATCTGTACAGATTATTGATCTGAATAGAAAGCATCAGAGGCAGATCTTACCCAAGAGATACAAAAAATTGTAAAGCCAGGAGCAAAGGAAGCTGGAGAAGTAGAGATCAAGCAGTGAAGGACACAAGGAAATTAAACAGAAGCTTCTGAGGAAATAAGGATACCTGGAAGGTAGTCTCTTACTGGATCTGTAATGCCCTCCCCCTAAGTTGCAAAAAGCTTTCAAACTAACTCTGAATGTCTATGGCCCAAAACAAGGGATTAAATGGGATGTACTCTGTCAAAGGTCTTTCAGCTGCTTGTGACACCACATACCCACCTGAGCCCCCACGCTGAATCCTCCGGCAGACTCCCCAAAGATGGTCACACAGGAGGGGTCTCCTCCAAAAGCCTCGATGTTTTCCTGAACCCATTGGAGAGCTGCTACTTGGTCCAGGAGCCCCCAGTTTCCAGAGGCTTCTTGGGAGCCAGTGCTGAAAGAAGAACAGCTCAGAGTAGCCAGTCAAGAAAAGGATGCTCTTTTGTTCTGGGCATTTCTCAACCAGTTATAATATTGAGGAACAGATGGAATAAGGCGGTTTTTTGCAAAGTCGGGATATTCAGGTCTGAGAAGTTCAGAATTTCCATGTATCCAGGCAGCCCTTTAAGGGGTGTTGTTCCAAGGTTGATACACAACCATTTGTTTCTTCCTCCACAATCGCTCAACTTCAATTTTCAGATTGTAGTATTTTGTTAGTGCTGCTGCTGCTGCTGCTGCTGCTGTTGTTGTTGTTATTATTATTATTATTATTTTGGATGAATGGTCTAGAGAAGCAATGTCAGCATGCATCTATGCTTGCTTGCCAGCTTGCAGCAGCTGTCATAAAAATGGGGATGGGGGGAGAGAGCCATGAGCGCTTGGAGGGAAAGTGTACAGGAGAACTCAGTAGAAATTTTTTGTAAAGCTTTGCAACTGCCAGCCTGGACTTTGCTTATCATCTTCAAGGCCAATTCTTCTAGCTTCGGCATACAGAAGGAAGCAACAATGCAGCCGAATCAGAGACTTTCCAAAATATCTTCTGGTCAATGACTGAACTCTGGTTGCCTGGCTGTGTGTGTGTGTGGGTGTGTGTGTGTGTGTGTTTTGTTGATGCTTTGCACATTTTTGCTTCAGATCTTACCTGACTTAGCTGCATTCACTTCTTTGCTAGTAAAAGTATCTTTTCTCCATCTGTAGAGCCAAGGGTTTTTCTTTCCTAGGAACTGGGTAGAGGTAGCCCTGACGACCACCTTTTTTAACTTATTTCATTAAAAGGTATGAAATATCATGAGCAGTAAAAAAGCTCAGGCTTTTCAATAAAATATGCTAATTGAGAAAGACGCTACCAGAAATTCTGGATGTTGAGCAACCTTTTCTACAGAAATATAGTGAATGCCTTCAGAAAAAAGCTGTCTTCCCCTTTTCTTGGTAACAGCCTGTTCCAAAATTTAGTCCTCATTCTATCATACTAATTTCCCTTCTGAAAATGGATTCCTGATTGTTAGATTTTCTCTTTTCTTCTCATTCTTTTCTGTTCACAATGATCACCTATGCAAACTGGTGTTTGTTTTTTTCAATTTTCATGGTTTTCTTTTATTTACATAGATTTAAGCTCTCTTTCTTCAAATTGTGATCAGGATTACTTAAATAAGAATGACTAAAATATTAGAGAGAGATCACCAAATCATTCATGCAGTACATATCATTTCATATAGTAAATCCACAATGATACGAAAAATGCATCAAAATAAAACAGGTAAATGGGGTATGCAAACATTCTAAGTTCCACAAAGCTGTTTTCCAAGCTCTAAATCACCCCTTTCCTCTCAGCAGTTTTCAAGTAAGTTCCCAGGTGCCAATCATGGGTCGTTTTCTGAAAGCTGCCTTTATTATACATAGATTAATGGTGGAATAGATAACTGCTTTAGAATTTCTTTATGATTTACTGAGCTTTAGTCTGCAAGCATTTGCAAACTATAAAAGTCAGCTAAGCCGCCTGTGCCCCAGTACAGGAAATGGGCTGACGGGATGCAGTTTGGGATGTTTTCTTAGGTCTTACAACTTATTTTACCTGAGGAATCCAAGAATCCCCAGCCGGTACTGAACTGCCACTACCACCACATTTCCATAAGCGGACAAGGCTGATCCGTCATAGAATGAAGCCCCGCCATTGACTAGGCCACCTCCAGGAAGCCAAACCATCACCTAGAAAATAGATCAGAAAATTGACCATCGTTGAAAACTTAATTGTTTCACCTCTGTGCCAATATTCAATTGATTATTGGGTTGATTACTTAACTAGAAATTTATGTTTAATGGGGATAGCGGAATAAGGTAGTTGGAAGGGAGCCCGACATGGCCTGTGAACTCTAAGACCTCTGATCAATCCCTCCTTGGTTTGCCTGGCCAGCAGAACCAAATAGGGAGAAACCTCCCTTCCCCTCCTCTTCTCTTCTCTTTCCCTCCCTTCCCTAAGAAATAGGAAAAGAATTATGTTTTGAAAACATGGAAAATAGGGGTTCTACTCTGACAAATCTTGCACATGTATATAATACAAAAGGGAGAATTGTGGAAAAATGGTTAACAAATCAGATTCCCCCCACCTTTATTCTTCATACTGCTCCTTTTAAATAGGAACAACCCAGACTTTTCCAACTCAGCATCCCTCTGCTCCACTTAAATATGACTGAACGATTCAGTTAACGACAGTTGCTTGCGAATCGCAGGATTTCAGATTCAAAGAGCAGATAACATTGCAGAAACTTCCAGAAAAAAAAGGAGGATGTATCTGCTTTTTTATTAACAACCAATGGCATAAAAACCTCACTACACTAAAGAAATTTGTGGTGTGGACTTGGAAACAATATTCATTAACTGCATACTGTATTATGCCCCACAAGAGTTTTCTTCATTCATCCTGGCTGGGATCTACTTACAAGCTGGTATAAAGAATCCATTGCAGAGATCGCCAGGCTCCCTATCACTGTATTAGGTGGTTTCAGCAGTGCTCACCTAAGCCAGGAGCTGCCAAGGTGCACTCGGCATGTCAGCTGCCTCACCAGAGGCACAAATGCTTTAGACACTGCTGCTCAACACGATGCCTGTCGCTCCCTAACAAGAGCAGCTATGGGTCACTCTGACCCCTGTAGGATTCGCCTCGTACCTGTTTACAAGCAAAGGCTTAAAATCACAAAGCCAATAGCTGAAAGAGTGAAATCTTGGACAAAAGAGGCAAATTAAAGCTACAGGCTTGCCTCAACTACACAGACTGGGACATTTTTGAAGGTGCCTCAGCAGACTTGGATGAACTTTTGGGCTTGAATTTTCCAGGATTTAAATTTTGGGCTTACACAACTTAGAACTACCCCACCTTCGGTCTGACTTGAGCATAATACAAAAAACTATCTGCTACAATGTCCCACCTGTCAATGACTACTTCAGCTTCAACTGCAACCAACTGAAGAGAAACCGCTCCAAGCTCAATTGCAGAATATACGACTTCAGCAACAGAGTGGTCAATGCCTGGAATGCTCCACCTGACTCTGTGGCTTCACCCCCAAACCTCCATAACTTTAACCTTAGACTGTCTACTGTTGACCTCACCATGCATAAGTGCACTAGCGCGCCTACTGTCCCTGTCCTACTGCCCCCATTTATTTGTATCCATTCCCTGTATTCATAATCATGTTTATTATACTTATAGCTGTTATCTTACACATGCTTGACAAAATAAATATTTATTTAAAAAAATTCCCTGAAGGTGGGCTCCAGCATGAGCCTGAAAGCTCAGAAGACAAAACCTCTGATTCCGGTGACTGATTGAATCAAGGAATGTGTGGCATGCAAGAAAAGCTAAGAGAAAGAGAGAGAAAGGAAAGTGAATGGTATCATTTTACCTACAGGCAATTTAGCCTCCATGTCTGGGGTGAAAATATTCAGGTAGAGGCAATCTTCAGACACCATCAGGTTGGGCAGTGTGATATTCACGATCTCCTTTAAAACATCTACCCATCCCAGGTCTTGCAGGCACCTTGAGCATAAACAATACAGAAATGTGCATCAGGAGCACTTTGGGATCTCAAGGGTTAACCTGGAGAAAGGGACTCTGGCAGGCAATTGCCATGCTCCCCCCCACGCCCCCACCCCGCAGCACTTCTGAGTGGGGGCAGACACTGAGCCACTCTGTAGTCAAGAGGCAGGTGGGCCACTCACTGAGGCTCTGGTGCTTTTCCCAGCGACTGAACTGGAAAAGCTGGTTCTGGATGGCAGCCCCCACCCCAGCCAGGCAATCGCTCAACTTCATAGCTCTGCCATTCTTTCCATCCCACCAAGGCTTCTTTTTTTTTTCTTTTGAGACCCTTCCAGGCCCACCCAGCCCTTTTTCGAGATGCAGAGGAATGCCCTCACGCCCAAAAGAGCCGAGGCCACTGCCTGCCTGGCTGGTATGTCAGTGTAAATCTCCGGTACCTCCTAAGACATCTGCAAGACGAGGATAATTTACTAAAACAAATTAGAGATCAAAGTCCAATGCATATAAAGAGACTATATAATGCATTAATAGAAATGGATTCGGAAACAGAATTAGTTAAAGACTGTATGATAAAGTGGGCACAAAATTTTGAAGAACCAATAATGTTGGATACATGGGAAAAGATCTGGGTAAGAAATGTAAAAGTTACACAAGCCCAAAATTTGAGAGAAAACTTTTATAAGATGTTTTATAGATGGCATTTAGATCCTAAAAAACTGGCCTCTATGTATCCGAATTTACAACCTAAATGCTGGAGATGTGATTGTGCTGATGCTACATACTATCATATATGGTGGACTTGTAAAAAGGTTAAAGCATTTTGGATAAAAATATGGTGGATTATGCAAAATGTTCTTTAAAAAAGGATAAAGTTTACCGCTCAGTTATTTGTTAGGTATAATTACTGATTGTACAGTTATAGAGACTAACCTTTGCATTTAATAACCGCAGCAAGACTGCTGGTGGCGCAATACTGGAAGAAGGAAGACTTGCCTACTATTCAAGAATGAATATTAAAAGTAACAAACTTAACAGAGATGGCTAAAATATCAGCATATCTCAAGGACCATTCCAATGAGAGATATAAATTGGAGTGCAGAAGATGGATTGACTATACTTAAAATAAATATGAGGCTAAGAAATTCCAGATAGCTTATGACTGAAGAAACAAGGAATGACATAATCTGTTTAGAGTTAGCCTAGCAATGAGGAGTTAAAGCTCAATTGAAAGAGGATATTAACTTTTTTTAAAGTTTATTTTAGAATATTTTTGTTAAAGATTTATACCCTGTATTGGTTCTGGGAAGTTTGGGGGGGGAAGGTTGGGGGGGGTTGGGTGGGAAGGGGAGGGAAGTAAACATTTGTAAAAGTTTTTTTTTCAAAATTTTCAATTAAAAAAAAAGAGGCAGGTGGGCCACTCACTGAGGCTCTGGTGCTTCTCCCAGCGACTGAACTGGAAAAGCTGGTTCTGGATGGCAGCCCCCACCCCAGCCAGGCAATCGCTCAACTTCATAGCTCTGCCATTCTTTCCATCCCACCAAGGCTTCTTTTTTTTTCTTTTGAGACCCTTCCAGGCCCACCCAGCCCTTTTTCGAGATGCAGAGGAATGCACTCACGCCCAAAAGAGCCGAGGCCACTGCCTGCCTGGCTGGTATGTCAGTGTGAACATCCGGTAGCTCCTAAGACATCAAGGGCCTGAGCCCTTTGGGAGGCTTGGCTGGCTTCCTTGGGAACCAGCAGAACTGGAGCAGCTGCTGCACACTTCTCTTGACAAGTTGTCACAACAACCGTTTTTCCATTCACAATTCACTATGCTTTCTTTTTACACACACACACACACACACACACACACACACACACACCCTGCAATTTCCTTAAACCTTGTCAGGGAGAGATGAACTTTGATGTGTCAAAAGAGGGGTGTCCCACCCTCTTTTCCCACCTGCACAGCAACTTGTCTTTTGCTGCTGCTGTGAGTGAAAGGCCAGGCCTTGCATAGGATTGCTTTCTCTTCAGACTTTTCACCAAAGACATCCAGCCAGGCCCAGCTTTCTTCTCCGGTGGTCTCATGATGTCCATCTCAGACTGCCCACCCCTGGAGCACTTGAAAGTCAGCCTTCCTTGTCTCAGGGATGAAGTCGCATTTTCTACCCAGAGCAGCAGTTTGATGCGGTACAATTTGATGCAGTTTTACTGGATCGAAGTTGGTGGGTCGCATTTGAACATGCCAATGAGGAGGAATCAGTACACAAAGCTTCCTCCAGCCTCTTCTTTTTGAAAGCTTTATGCAGCCAATGATTATTTGTAAGCAAGGTGGCTGGGGAAAATCTCAGCTTACCTTATGCTTTATTGCACTCAAGAGTTTTATATTGTGGTGACCAAAACTGATGTATTATAAAAAAGAAGTTGAGACTCTGGAAAAAGTGCAGGGAAGAGCAGCAAAAATGATTAGTGGAGCGGAAGTTAAAACATACAAAGAATGTTTGCAAGAATTGGCTATAAGGATTAGGGGTGACATGATAGCAGTTTTCCAATATTTTAGGGGCTGCCACAAAGAGGGGTGGGAGGAAATCAACCTGTTTTTCAAAGCATCAGAAGGCAAGATAAGAAGCAATGGATGGAAACTAATCAAGGAGAGAACCAGCTAGAACTAAGGAGAAATCTCCTGACAGTGAGAACAATTAACCAGTGGAAAAAACTTCCCTCCAAAAGTTGTGGGTGCGCCATCACTGGAGCTTTTAAAGAAGAGACCAGACAGCCATTTGTCCAGAATAGTATAGAGTCTCCTGCTTGTGCAGGGGTTGGACTAGAAGATTTCCAAGATCCCTTCCAACTCTGTTATTTTGCTGTTCTGTTATTCAATTGAAACATTCTTATAAACATATATTTTTTGAAATATGCATGTTCTGTTTTTCCATTCTTTCAGCTCCAAATGCTCCAGATGTATCCCCTTTCTCAGCTTGGGGAAAGCCTACCTCGGAGTCTGGGGAAGTTGAAGGAGAAATACAGGGATGGACTTCATCCTTCAGAGGCATCCTCTCTGCATCCTTGGAGGAGAAATTGAATTATATGTTTCCCCCTTGTTTTTAATTAAACGTAAGGGGAAAACATGAACAAAGAATAAGAGTAAACTATGAGTGAATGATGAAGTGTCATGGAGGTTGTAGCTTTTCAATGTCTCATTGTAAATAACTGAATGTATTCTATTGTTGAAAAGATTAAGAATCACTGCTTAAAACTGAGAGAAACGTAGCTGATCCAGGAACATTTCCATCATAGATTGCCACCATGGTGTACATCATATACCCGATATGCCCACTGGGCTCAACACAGTCCTAATAACTTACATTAGTTTAACACATTTGTGTCAAAATATGAAATGCAGTGTAATATATCTGAAGTAAAGCAACTCTGATTAATTTCACCATTCGAGCATTGAAGGAAGACCTTACATTGGTGGGTGGGAGGTGGCATCTCTCATGTGGCTCCAGGGTTCAGGTGGTTGTGGTGGGGAAAATCTCAGGGATCCAGTTGGGGGTTTGGCAAATGGGACCCCAAGAAAGCTCTTCACAGGCTCATCCATGCCGTCCACGTCGGCCAGTTTGCCTCTCAGATGCCCATATTTGGTAATCACTTCCAGGTGCTCCTGTCTTTCACCTAAAAATTCAAGCCTAGATATAAGGACAACAAGCAGCAGACACCCATGGATGACCTTCCTAGTTCCTCCTGTGTTCTAATTTGCTCAGCAATAAGCTGAGCTGCAAGAGCCAGAGCAACTTCCTCTCTTAGCATCCTTTGACTACGGCTATTGCAACGAGGGCTTCTACCTCTAGCCTTCTCTTCCTCCAGATCGGAGAACTGCTGGTGGCCAGGGGCTGCCCTTCGTGTGGGGATAGGCTGGGAGATGAAGTGGAGATGCAAGCTGGCAAGGCAGACGGGGACAGGCACTTCCTCTAGGACAGCTTTTTGCTGCTGGGGTTTCTTAGTTTTCAAACGTGTGACATCCCCATGGCTAAATCTCCAAAACACCTGAAGACAGGGCAAGAAGCAACGGGTGGAAACTAGTCAAGGGAAGAAAGAACCAACCTAGAACTAAGGAGAAATTTCCTGACAGTGAGAACAATTAATCAGTAGAACAACTTGCCTTCAGAAGTTGGGAGGTCTTCAGGAAGAGCTTGGACAACATTTGTCTGAAATGGTACAGGGCTTCCTGCTTGAGCAGGGGGTTGGACTAGAAGACCTCCAAGGTCCCTTCCAACTCTGTTATTCTGTTAAAGAGGCTCAAGCAACGGTTTGATCATCTGTTCTGCCAGACATTCATCTATGACATCTTGAAATGGCAAATGTGTCTGCGATCAACTTCAAAGCTCCCACTGACCATCCTCTGTGGCTTTGTGGCTCTATGGCAGTGTTTCTCAACCTTGGCAACTTGAAGATGTCCGGACTTCAACTCCCAGAATTCCCCAGCCAGCATTCGCTGGCTGGGGAATTCT